AAAAAAATTATATATATATATATATATATATATTTAAAATCCTTTACAAATATTTTTTGCCCTACATATATTTCAGTCAAAGAAAATACAATCATGTGAACTTTAACACAAATAATTTTAACACATGTAACATATAACACATTTGGATAAAATCAGCAAGCAACATACTTTACAATGTTCAAAAAATACTATAACAATATATAAATAATAATAATGAATAATCATTATAAATCTAGTAGGCTATTCACATTTGCATTTAGTCTAAATGTAGGCAATAATTGTAACATTGGAAATGTATTTTCTTGCCCATTTTGAAATATATTTTGGTATATGAAGGTTAAAACAGGTTATTTCAAGTTAAAAAAATATATTTAATTGAACTTCACATCATATTTGCCCAGAAAAATATATATTTGCTATATAGGAGATGACAAATAAGAAAAAATCCATCAGTTTTAATGAAACTGTTGTTTTCTTTGATCCAGGTATTCAGAAGCGGTATGTTTGTGCCAACTTTGGTGAACAGGGCATCACCGTTGGCTGCTGGGACACCTATAGACATGACATTGATTGTCAGTGGATCGATATCACAGATATCAAACCAGGAGACTATATTTTCCAGGTAGCGTTTTAACTAAAGTGGAAAAAAAAATATTGCGTTATACAAGAAAATACTATTTCAAAATTCTATCTTTAATTCATTAGTTATTTTTTGCTAAATTTTCTAACAATTTCTGAGTGAAAATTGTTTCTACGCCAGACATCCGGAATTTGAATTTTTCTGACATTATTCTGTCACACAGGTTGTAATCAATCCTTACTATGACGTAGCCGAATCAGATTATACCAACAACGTTATGAAGTGCAAGTGCCGCTATGATGGATACAGGATATGGACGTACCACTGTCATACAGGTGAGTTGCAGAAAAAAAAACTGTATTGAAATTCTACCAGGACAGTTTAAAAGCCATTAGAAGTGAATACTACCGCCTCTACCACTTTCCAGGTGGCTCGCGGAGTTCAGACATGGATGAGTACCCTGCAATGAGCAACCAGCTGCACTTCAGATAGGACAGAGTGAGGAAGGACAAAGGCTCTCGGTGGAGGACGCTGCAGGCTGTCACTCAGACTATTCAAATATGATTGACCACTAGAGAGACTCCAGCACTTCGAAGGCAGAGACCGCTGCTCTTTTAGGTTGAAATACAGCATGTTCTTTCACGGTCCTCGCTATATCAAACTTGCTTTGAGCAGAAACTATTTAAATTCCTAAATTGTACTGTACTTGCTGCATTCATTTTTGGTGCTTGAACTGCTTATTTGTTGGTTGTTGTGGTTACAAACCCATGCTGTAATGTTCAAACTGGGATCTTAATATTAAGTTTTCAGTTCTTTCTGCATTATAACTTAAATTCACAAAGCCTGCAATTTCATGAACTCAGCCCCACTAGCGGCTGTCAAACTCTTGTGGTTTCTTCATCAAGCATGTCAAGTAATTTATTGTGTTCAGTCAGGGATTATGTTTTGTCAGGTTTTGTGTATGCAATGTGAAACTGTAACAATTTGTTTTTTTGGCCAATTTGTGAAGCATCTACCCTCCGTTTTATGAGGGTACTTATGACCAGTTCAATGGTTTTCATATATGCAATGTGTTTATGACTGAACAACACATTTGGTCAAACCATTGCATTTTCTACAATAAAAGCAATTCATGTATGTTATTTGGAGGATGGTGTTTATGTGAACCTGACAACCCATGTTAAACCCAATTAAAGACGTGGCACCAAAACATTTCATTAAAACAGGTTGAGGTATCAAACAATTTTAAAGCATCGTAGTGCAGAAATAAGTCAGTTTTTTAACAAATCAACTCCGCCATACAAGTCAAATAAATAATAACGGTAGCAAACAGAATTATCTACATTTAGTTGTACATCTAATAATACTATTGCATTTTAAACAAAACATTTAATGTTTCAAAAATGTAATTTAGACTCCATTCCCATCTCAAATTACACAAGCTGAACATGAAAACAACATTGACAAACAACACAGCTAAACACAGTCTTCTTAATTTAATCATTAGATTCAATATGATTGATATGACAGGAAATCCAATGAGCAAAAGAGCTTATTTGTATTAAATAAGATTTAAGTTAATAAAAATGATCTATTTACAATGGCTGGACCAGATGCTGAGCTTGTTAGCATGAAGAAACAGAGCAAGGAAAAAAAACAAACAAGGCTGTTTCCTGCTAAAGAAGAAAAAACCAAAGTCCTCTGAATGCTTACCAAAACTCACATCAAATGCTCACTTAACATACTACAGGCTTGTTTCCTAAAATAGTACAGAACTCAACCAATTAAAACTTGGGAGACCACATATATTTCATGTGTTTGAGCATTTCGAACATCCTGTGCAGCTAAATAACACTTTACAGCATCTCCTTTCCCAGTCTGAGTGGTGCAGTAATGTCAAGGACATTTGTTCTTTTCCCAGTACAGTTTTAACTGAAGGACAGTCTGACTGGGACGAGGAACTTTATTTATTCAGTTGAAGTTGTTTCTCATTTCTTAGGTTGAAATACAGCATGTTCTTTCACGGTCCTCGCTATATCAAACTTGCTTTGAGCAGAAACTATTTAAATTCCTAAATTGTACTGTACTTGCTGCATTCATTTTTGGTGCTTGAACTGCTTATTTGTTGGTTGTTGTGGTTACAAACCCATGCTGTAATGTTCAAACTGGGATCTTAATATTAAGTTTTCAGTTCTTTCTGCATTATAACTTAAATTCACAAAGCCTGCAATTTCATGAACTCAGCCCCACTAGCGGCTGTCAAACTCTTGTGGTTTCTTCATCAAGCATGTCAAGTAATTTATTGTGTTCAGTCAGGGATTATGTTTTGTCAGGTTTTGTGTATGCAATGTGAAACTGTAATAATTTGTTGCAATTTTGTGAAGCATCTACCCTCTGTTTTATGAGGGGATCTATGACCAGTTCAATGGTTTCCAGATATACAATGTGTTTATGACTGAACAACACATTTGGTCAAACCATTGCATTTTCTACAATAAAAGCAATTCATGTATGTTATTTGGAGGATGGTGTTTATGTGAACCTGACAACCCATGTTAAACCCAATTAAAGACGTGGCACCAAAACATTTCATTAAAACAGGTTGAGGTATCAAACAATTTTAAAGCATCGTAGTGCAGAAATAAGTCAGTTTTTTAACAAATCAACTCCGCCATACAAGTCAAATAAATAATAACGGTAGCAAACAGAATTATCTACATTTAGTTGTACATCTAATAATACTATTGCATTTTAAACAAAACATTTAATGTTTCAAAAATGTAATTTAGACTCCATTCCCATCTCAAATTACACAAGCTGAACATGAAAACAACATTGACAAACAACACAGCTAAACACAGTCTTCTTAATTTAATCATTAGATTCAATATGATTGATATGACAGGAAATCCAATGAGCAAAAGAGCTTATTTGTATTAAATAAGATTTAAGTTAATAAAAATGATCTATTTACAATGGCTGGACCAGATGCTGAGCTTGTTAGCATGAAGAAACAGAGCAAGGAAAAAAAACAAACAAGGCTGTTTCCTGCTAAAGAAGAAAAAACCAAAGTCCTCTGAATGCTTACCAAAACTCACATCAAATGCTCACTTAACATACTACAGGCTTGTTTCCTAAAATAGTACAGAACTCAACCAATTAAAACTTGGGAGACCACATATATTTCATGTGTTTGAGCATTTCGAACATCCTGTGCAGCTAAATAACACTTTACAGCATCTCCTTTCCCAGTCTGAGTGGTGCAGTAATGTCAAGGACATTTGTTCTTTTCCCAGTACAGTTTTAACTGAAGGACAGTCTGACTGGGACGAGGAACTTTATTTATTCAGTTGAAGTTGTTTCTCATTTCAAAGCGTCTCCCCCTCAAGCCCAGCGCTCTGGTCACCATCCTGCGAGCCACCGCTGTGTCCGTCCGCGGCCTTTCCTTCACCGGCTGAATGAACTCTGTAGGGCGACATCAACATACTTGTTCAAAATGAGTATATTACTGATATTATACAGATCAGTAACATGACATTTGTATGAATCTATTTATTCAAAAATACATAGAATCCAAAATATACATAAAATGACCGAAAACGTTCTTTTAAAGGGATAGTTCACCCAAAGAAGAAGAAAATTCTGTTACTCACCCTTATGTCGTTCTAAACCCGTAAGACCTTCGTTCATCTTCGGAACACAAATTAAGATATTTTTGATGAAATCCGAGAGCTTTCTGACCCTGTGTAGACAGCAACACAACTGAAATGTTGTAAGACCTAGAAACATAGTAAGGACTTCGGTAAAATAGTCCATAGGCGTGTTTCCATTACCCTTCAAATTGCGCAAATTGAAATTGCGAATTGAAAATACGCCTAATGGAAACGCGTCAATTTCGCAAAAACGTTTTTACGTTCGCATGAGGGGGGTTTTTCAGGCAATGCGAAAAAGGAATAATTTGTAAAACTGCAATGGAAACTGCTTTTTCGCATTTACAGGTCACATGGCATATGTAAAAAGTCATATGATCATTCTTCAATGTACTATAACCTCCAAGAAACACATCATACGTGGCCGCTCTCCAGTATAAGGGGCTTTCCCTACCATTAATGCTTAGAGTAGACAATTTACACTGCACACGTCTGCGGTGCAGTGTGGCTCTGATACGGCCACAATGCTTGTGTTTATTCCAGAATCCAGCCGCTCCACGCACATTTCTGAAGTGTCTCTCTTTGCTGCTTCTGTAAAGATACACGCATATGCCTCCTTTGAATAAATACAGCCAAAATCCGTCAAAATCCCACCAAAATCCGTTGCTATGACTTATCGCGAGAGGCAAAAGGTTACGTTTTAGTCGCATAACATTGGTTAATGGAAACGCCGTCATTTCGCAATACTTTTTTATCGTCATTTATAAAATATCGCCAAAGTTTTGCACAAATCTGTAATGGAAACGCGCCTACTGTGACATCAGTGGCTGAACCCCAATTTTATGAAGCAACGAGAATAGTTTTTGTGCGCAAAGAAAACAAATGACGACTTCAATAAACAATTATTTTTTTATTCTCGCCATTACGGAGAGTACCGCGACGCATGCATTCTGCGTTGTTTATGTGCAGAGGTACTCTCGATAATGGCAGAAGATGTGATTTGGAGAAGAATTGTTGAATAAAGTCATTATTTTTGTTTTCTTTGCGCACAAAGTATTCTCGCAGCTTCGAAAGTTATGGTTGAACCACTGAAGTCACATGAACTATTTTACCGAAGTCCTTACTACGGTCTGGGAACATTTCAGTTGCATTGCTGTCTATGCAGGGTCCGAAAGCTCTCGGATTTCATCAAAAAAAATCTTAATTTCTAAATTTTTAAAATCTTAATTGTGTTCTGAAGGTGAACGAAGGTCTTACGGGTTTGGATCGACATGATGGTGAGTTATTAATGACAGAATTTTCATTTTTGGGTGAACTATCCCTAACTTAATATAGCACCTGAAATAAACACGTGTCACGGTTTCCACAAACATATTAAGCAGCAAAACTGTTCTCAAAAATGATAATAAATCATGTGACACTTAAGACTAGAGTAATGACCATCACAGAAATAAGTTTAATTTAAAAATATTTTTTTAAATATAAATGTTATTTCATATTGTAATAATATTTCACATTACTACTGTTTTACTGTATTCTTTTGATTAAATAAATGCAGCCTTGGTGAGCATTTTCAAACTTTCAAAGGCTTTCAAACGCATTAAAAAAAACGTATCGACCTCAAACTCCACGACCTTATGACCTTACTTTTCACTTGATTGTTACACCACTTCAGTTTTAGAATCCTTACATAATATTTTCCTTAAAAAAGTAAAAAAAAAAAAAAAAAGGTATTCAAACCAGATTTTTTTTATCGTGGACACACCAAGTCTTCTAAAGTGAAACCTTCTTTCTGAAAGGCGTCTTTTCTGTACCTGCACGTCTGGTTGCTTTCCACTTTGCTTTCTGGCTCCCCTCTAGCAGCGCGCGGGTCTTCAGTATGGGATGTTTGAGGGACAGTGCCTGCGTAGCTGAACAGAGATAAAAAGATGCGTTTGTCAAACATATGAATATAAAGAATAATCCTTCTTGATACACGAATGAAAAAAATGCTGGCTAATGAAACGATACCTGCCGACTGCCTTGAAAACACTCCGAGAGCATGAGTGTTATCCACCCACTTGATCTTCATCCCCCCTTCACTGGAAACAGAAGCAGATCGGTGTCACTTTATAGATCTGTATCACTACTTTTTGTCAGAATATAGAGGTGACATATCACCTATAGTCAGCAAAGGCATCAAGCAGGTCGTCTGTTTTAAACATGGCAGGAAAGTCGTAGATCTCAATGACGTGGCCGAACTCCTGTGGGTCCAGCCAGATGTTTGCATAGGCGGGGAAATCAATGCAGGTGTTGAGTATGGTGATGTCCCCATGTTTTAGCTTGGCTTTGACCTAATAACCAAGAAGAATGAAGGACAGTGTGTGAGAACAGACAGAATAAAGATGACTGGAAATATGGTAAGAGATGCATTAGCTCTCATTCAATTACTGCGCATACAAACGTTTTCACAATCAAGTGATCAATAAGTTTTGTACTAATATTTATTCTAAATTGAGGATATTTAATCTCTATACTACTGTATTTTCCAGAATATAAGTCCTGTTATATTATCATCTGAATGTACTGAAATTTCTATACTGCATCATTAAGCAGGCAAAACATAACTTTTGGATTTGTGCTGAATAAGAGAGGTAGCCAAGTGAGCCAAAGTTTTGTTTTTGCTTTAAATAAATCTGTTTAGGTTTGGCATTTACAGTAAATATTGTTTATAATTAATGCCACTATAATTTGTGTTTGTTTTATACTAATTTTATGTAATTTTTTAGTTAAAGTTTTAGTAATTTTGTTGTTTGGTATTCATTTTTATTTATTTTAGCACAATTAAGAAAAAATAAATAAATGTTTTATTTCGAGAAAATTTTTTTTTTAATTATACATTGCAATTATTTTAATAATAAATTAATTATTATTTAAGTTTCTAAATTTTAAATTCTAATCTGCTATTATTTGAATAACTTCAAATAATCCATGCAATTATTAGCGAATGAGACCCATTAAGTTACAATACCTCCGACAGCAAACTTTCATCAACGTCCTGCTGCTGGAGTGTGGCATCAGTGGGAAGGGCCTTGTTGTTGGCACAATTTTCATCTGTTTCGTCATCTAATGTCAGAGATGTGAAGAAAGTCACAGTCTGGTCCCAGGCTGGAGGCCACGGTGACGGGCCCGACCTCGAAAGCTGCACAAACTCCTCATCGCCCAGTGACTGGCCAGTGCTGTCCACCTCTGGCTTCTGATTGGCTGCAAAAGGTTCCTTAGCAACGGCAGAGGAGGATTCCACAGATGATTCCTTGAGATTCGGTTGTTCCAGATCTATCTTATGTCTCATAACACGCGGAACGTAAATAGCCTTGTCTGGCCGTCTGGCTCTCCGTCTGTTGTTGAAGCTGGTCTCCAGTGAGCGTGTGTTGCTGTTGGTCTCCATGTCTCTGTCCCAACTGCGCGCTCGCTCATTGGATCTGCCCTTCGCATCTATCTGGTCTTCTTCTGGCAACCTGTCCGATGCACCACACAAAAATTGTAGTTAGTAACGTAATCCATTACATCACACATTTTAGGTAATACAATCGGAGTACTTTTTTAGTTTTAGATTACTTTTGACCTAACTAATGTTTATCGCATTGAATTTAACTTAGGGTTGCAAAAAGGCAGAACATTTCTGAAACTTTCCAGAAATTTAAGGAACTTTCTGGGATTTTTTGGACACTTTTGGGAATTTACGGAAACTTTGGAAAGTTTCTGCCCCTTTGCAACCCTAATTTACATAGGACATTCTTCTACCATATTGATAGTAAAATACAAAGAGAAAGTTAATATATTTCAATCGATTGTTAATTAACAACGTGAAGCGCATTTAAAAAAATCAAATCGCGAAATGGGCTTTAATGAAAAGCTTATAATTAACTAAATAGTAAAACAACGTAAAATTAAAATCATTTTAAAATAACAACAATCAAAATTAAACACTTTTACTAAAAATATGAAATATTTTATTTGTTCGCTTGCCTTGTGACCATTAACCAACGTCAGAGAACAGTGAACATGCAAATATATTACTTAATTATCAACTCTTATTACCTTAAAATCTCAGGTAGTACTTCAAGTAAATGTATTCTTGGCTGACAAAAAAAAAGTTTGGGAATCCCTGCATTAAATGTAAATAAGAAAAAACATGAATTTTTTAATTTTACTGTGTTTGAAAGACAAAAGCCTTACAAAGACATAGTAATACATGGTTAAATAACCCACTGAGTGATAATTCAAATAAAAATTAATGTGCTCATCAGTAATTGATGCAATGCTGAAATGCTGAGAAAACACTTCTTAAAATTGAAATGATTTTTGTAAATCCAGTTGTCAGATGCTGTGTGGACTCTCAAATTTCGGTGTAATAATAGCCATCTGACTAGTGGCTGCTCTTTGTCTGAATGTCGACAAAACTGGAAGACTTTCTGAATGTATACAAGCGGTAGACTATTTGTGACCCTGGACCACAAAACCAGTCATAAGGGTCCATTTTTCGAAATTGAGATTTATACATCATCTGAAAGCCGAATAAATAAGCTTTCCATTGATGTATGGTTTGTTAGAATAGGACAATATTTGGCTGAGATACAACTATTTGAAAATCTGGAATCTGAGGGTGCAAAAAAATCTAAATATTGAGAAAATCGCATTTAAAGTTGTTCAAATGAAGTTCTTAGCAATGCACATTACTAATCAAAAATTATGCATTTTTAAAAATTAATGATTTTTGGCATAAAAGAAAAATCAATCATTTTGACCCATACAATGTATTTTTGGCTATTGCTACAAATATACCCCAGCGACTTAAGACTGGTTTTGTGGTCCAGGGTCACATTTAAGAAAGGACATTTTAAAAGAATCAATAAATTGCTGTTGTGTGAATAATATGTAATCAATATAAAAGTAAGTGTTGTCTGACTACGAATATTTTTCAAATTTAATCACAATTTCTTGATTTTTGGAATCGGATTACGTAATCCAGATTCCGTGTAATCAGTTACCATTCAGCACTGGCACCACAATGATGAGACACTAAAACTCCATGAGTGTGTCATGTGACACGAGCTCTGGCAGCTTTACCTGAGGTCTGAATAGCACACTACGACTCTGCGAGCGCAGCCCTCGCCCACAGAGAAGGTGCTGAGGCTGGGATGATTTGCACTAGTTTGGTGAATCAGGAAGCGAAGTCGGCTCGGGACAGGAGGGAAGAGTAGAACGCTGCAGTTCAGAACATCTCAATTAGACAATATGGCAGGAAGCCCAAAATACACATACATATGAGTGTGATATAAGTACAATTCATTGCCACTGTGTTAGGGTGGTTCTCAAGTCACTGCAGTTGCTAGGATGTTGGGAGTGTTTTTAATGCGTTGCAAAAGGGTATTGTAAGGTAAGGGGTTTTGAATGTTTTTTGTTTTCTGCCATGCAGCTGCTTGAGTATTTGGAGTGCTTTTTGATCTGTTTCTATGTAGTTTTGAGTCTTGTTGTCATGTTGCTATGCAATTTATGAGGTTTCAATTGTTTTGAGTGTGCTACTTTGCCATTCCTAAGAGGTTTTTCAATGATTTTAGCATACTGCTATGCAGTTGCAAGGGTGTTCTGGGTGGCTGTTTATCAGCCAATGTAGTCCTCCTGTCCCTGTATGACTATGAACTGCATGTTCAAATTTCTATCAAGACCAACAGTATTATCAAACATTTCTAATAATGTTGGTGAGCATTATTAATGAAAGCTGCTAGTGTCTCTTCTTCAGAGGTGTGATGAAATTACCTTTTGTGCTCATTTCTCTGTTGAAACACATCCAGCTCCTCCAGGACTGTATGGAGGAATTCAGTCTCTAGTTTGGGGAGGTAACAGCCATTGACACGAGGAAGAGCCAGGGTGTCAGAGGACGAAGATCTTTATCCACAGAGACTTACTGGAGATGCTTTAGTCTCTACACACTTGAGAGAAAAAAGAAATATTAAAGAGCGGATCAGTAACTTACAGGCCAAACACCACTGAGCTTGAGTTCACTGAGGCAAACTAAAGGCACAGATTTTATCATTAATTCACATACAACTGAACCTAAAAGCCATTAAGCCGTTATTTTATTGTCACCTGCTCAAGTTTGAGTCAAATACAAATAGCTAAGTATTATCAGGGGACTTGAATGACATTAAACATCTAAACTCACTTGAACATTAGCTAACTGTACTAGCTTAGCTCGCCACTCCCACTCAATAACATTAAACGCGTTTCAAGACGGGACTGGTTTAGACAAATAAACTCGAAAGAGACCTTTAAACGCGATTAAATCCCAGTCAAAAAGACAACTCTTGATAACAACACTAAATTGAACCGGTGTTCCGGTGAATTCAGTTCCCCTGTTTCCCCCTCACAGCAAGACATTATACAACACTGATAAAAAGATTTATGCAAGAAACAGTTTGAACTGACAACAGTCTGAAATACAAGCTGGAGATGCAATATTAAATGCAAACCATGCCTTTTAAGGATTTATGGCATTTGTGTATAATAAGGATTATATTGCAGACCCCAATAAAAGTACAGTAGTTCAATGGCAAATATAGTCAAATGTAGTGTTAAAACAGCATGGAAGAAAACAAAAACGGTTTTTGCTAGAGGGGAATGGAATAGAACAGTGACTTGAAGTAACTAAACTGATGACATAAAATCTTTAAATATAACAAACTAACTACCAGTCTCAAATTTCCACGTACACAAAACTGAAGCTTCTTCATGAATGTTATGACCGTTTTAACAAGCATTTATTGGAGCAGATTTCTCAAAAACACATTTTTACTATGAGAACACAGTTACAAAAGATTTGAATAATCAAGATGCAACTGTATTGTGACCGAACATTGTGCACTTAATCTATACTTCCCATTCAAGACAAGTATATACAGAAAACAAGAGAAAAGAACGCACTGGAGCTGCAATATAAAATTACATGGCACAACATAGATTTAAAACAACTCAGATTAAGACATCGGAAAGCTGTTAGATGAGGGAAAGCTGGTTTGGAGAGTTTCACCTAGATACATAATATAACCACTCTCTTCCTCTGTCAAAAAAACAAACAAAACATTAATGGATCAATGGTCTGAACTTAAAGGTATGCTATCTACATTTAAAGCAAGGTTCAGGTTCTGAGTCCAGCAGGCCAATCATCACGTTACAAACATGATCCTGCAGGAAAGAAATAAAACAATGCATTATTTCAAGATGATGATGATGATCCAATGCACTAATTATATGGGATATCATCATATTCAGGTCCAAAAGGACTTACCTTTGGTGTGTTTTATCTTGAACCAATACTTCTATCCTCGAAAATAGTGATCTCCACCTTTGAAAACTCAAGTTAAGGAAATAAAGTGTCATAAAAACCCTGCAAGGTTTTTTTTTATATTTTTTTTTAAACCGTTCAAAAGTTTGGGTATGTAAGATTTTTGACAGGATTTTGAAAGGTCTCTTATGCTCACCAAGGCTGAATTTATTTGTTCCAAAATACATTAAAAACAGCAATATTGTGAAATTTTATTACAATTAAATAAAACGTTTTCTATTTGAATATATTTTAAACAGTAATTTATTCGTATGATGCAAAGCTACATTTTCAGCATCATTCCTCCAGTCTTCAGTGTCACATGATAAAGATCTATGGAACATTAAATTTGTATTTGAAATCTTTTGTTACATTAAACATGGTTCGTCACGATACGATATCGATTCCTTTACCCAGCGGTATGATATTTGTCGATACTTCAAAAAATTCTACGATACGATTTCGATACAGGAGAATATCAATCGATATATCAATATTGTTATATTATATACCTATTTTAAACAACCATCTACATTTTTATTAACTCACAAATGCAACCAAAACATATAACATGAACATTTATCTTAAAATTTCACATCCTGTTCCTCAATTAGGACATTCACAACAAAAAATAGGCCTACACTTTTTTTCTTTTTAAATAATAAAGAAAAAGAAATAATTGAAGAAAAAAAAATCAAGTCACACACAAGATCAGTAATCTTAAGATATGACAACAGTCAAGACAGTCTTTCAGGCTTCTGTGCTAAAATATGCAATGTGTAAAATAATGTAAATCCTCATTAGGAAACAACACAAACGAGGTACTCTTGTAGGAAAAAATGCATTAATGTAGAAAAATTTATTTAAAAAATGCAAAAATAAAGCTGTTAAAACTTTATTTGAGATTTTTTTGGCTGCTACTATGGGCTCAGTGCTAAAAACCTTTTCTACAGATAACCAAATTACAAGCAATAGCAGAAAATAAATACAATATAACAAAGACACAAATTAAATAAACAGTGCTTTTCAGGTTTTTCAGGCAGATCTAAATGAAATTTTCAGGTACAGAAATGTAATAATCAAAAGAAAAATAACACTGCATAGTCTTCACTGTATAGATTAAATATAGATTAATCCTTATAAAAGTTGTTCAGTCAAAATCAGTGAGATGTTTTTTTTGACAGAAGTTCAGTCTGCTTTCACTTTAAAGGGGTCCTATTCTGCTTTTTCACTTTTTGAATTTTAGTCAGTGTGTAGTGTGTATGTTTGGGCATAAAAAAGATCTTCA